CAGATAACTACAAAGTGTTCGTCTATCTTACATGAGCACAACGGTTTGATGAATATCTCAAACTCACACGCTTCTCCTTTCTTTAGTGTTACTATTGAAGGCACTGTTCGTATTTGATAACAGTCACACCCTTCTATTACACTAAATTGCACTTTTAAATGGTGTTTGGTAAGGTTTCCAATACATATCAAATCGCGCGATTCTTCATCGACTGGAATAAGAGCGTCTGAATCTATGTCAAATTTTAATACTTTCTTATTGGAACAAATAAATTCGTCTAAACGTATCATCGAGATGTTGGAACGTGACATCTTAAAAACACAGACATTTTGCATCTTCTTTTTCACTTGGCGTTTGTTGAATAAAATGATGAGTAACAAAATGATCATTGTCATGAAGATTACCAAAAGTATTAAAACCGTAATTGGGATGCCAATCACAACACCAAGATTGACCGACTTTGTGCAACTGTCACCAGAGTCTGTAGGTTCTCGTCGACCCTCACACTTCACACACTTCGAATTTAAGGCTGACACACAGAATTCAACTTCTGTGAAATGAAGACATTGCGAGTCAACCAACACATATTCTCTCTCGTTACATATTGTACACACACTTTCACTCTCACATGATGTGCAATTTGAAGAACATTCATAACACTTGTAATTTGATAAGAAATGACCAGACACACACCTCTCACATCCAGACGATGATGACAGCTCACAATTTGCGAGTGTTGTGTTCGATTCACACAATTTGCCTTCACTTGGGATGTTGAAATAGCCGTCTTTGCATGCAAGACACTCGTAACTGTTCACACAAAGTGCACACGACTCATCACATTGTGTACAGCTGATACCCTCTCGATAATACCCACTGTTACAGATTGCACATCCGCTTCCACCAGGCAGTGCAATGTTACAACTTTCTTGTAATGCACCAAGTGATTTACAGTTTCCTAATTTGTCAAGATAAAAACCGGATTTGCAAGAAGTGCAATAAGTTGTGTTGTAACAAGTTAAGCAGTCATTTTCACATTGAACACACTCGTTGTTGATGTTGTAATACCCATCAGCGCAGTGTTGGCATCCTTTGTTGTTTCTGATTTGACAGGAAGTCTCTGTTGCTGTTTTTGTGTTTGTTTTGAGTTTGTCGTCTTCATCAAATGTCTCGGCACAAATTCCACCCTTCAATTTGAATGCATCAAGACACTCGACACATTTGGTGTTCTTTGCACTGTATCTCTTGCAATTTGTGACTGTTGTGGATTCTATTGGAACACAGTAATCGTACTTGTCTTCTATGTTCTTTGCGTCTGTCTGGTAATACCCCTCACTGCATACAACACATCCACTAGAGCTAAATGCGTTGCATGTTGATATCTCACTTCTTGATACACACCAAGTGTCGGTGTATTTCACAAAGCCGTCCAAACACTTCATACAGGTACTTCTGTCACAGATAGCACAGTTGGTGGTTTGACACTTTGAGCATCTTCCTTGTGAAATGTAATTTAAATCAGATGTACATTTGGTGCAAAACCCATATTTTGTTGTTTGACAATTATCATCTGTAACACATTGGTTCGTAGTCGTGTCAAATATATAATTGGTTTGACACTGCAATGGTATCATTTTGGTCTTTGATAATTGACAAATTGAGACAGAAACACCACAGCCGACACATTCGTTTGAGATGTTGAGATACGCACCATCTCCACACTTGTAAGTAATACCATTTCTTATTTCCAAATTTTGTTGTGCATGTTGACAATCATTTCCATTCAAAGTGAAGTTGTCGTTGCAATTAATACAAACAGAATTTCCCTTTTCAACTTTCTGGTGTTTGCAGTTTGTCAATTTTTCTTTACAATCGGAGTTGACTGAGATCTGGTCATAACAGTCACACGAAGACATTGTGGTGTTGGACGGGCTTTGACATCGTGTTGTTTGTTGGCAAACCCCATTCGCCAAAAAGTAGTTGTTGTTACATAAAAGACAAGTTGACTCGTCGACTTGTATTTGACAGTTTACATCATTACTTTGACAGCTCTTTGAATTTGGATTGTAATACTTCCCACTTGGACATAACTGACACTCCCCGCCATTCAACACATGGTTGGCCATACAAGAGGTGCAATTGGAAACACCAACAGAAAGTGTTGAACACACATTGCAATTCTCAGTTGCAAAATAACAACTTTCACATGTTGTCTCAGTCTTTTTGTAAGTCCCAACTTCGCAATTTGAACAAATCCCATTTAAAGCCACATATTGTGGGTCTTTGCACGCCAGGCACTTCTTTGTTATTTGGCTGCAACTCGTGCAATTTGTGTTGATTGTGTCACATGGAACACACACACCGATTTCGTCTGGGTAATATCCCGTGTTACACATCACACATTTTCTGTCAAATGCAGATGAGCATTTATTACAATGTGCATCAAATGTTGAGCATGATTCACAGACGCGTGATTTAGTTGATTGGAAAACATAGTTATCTTGACATGTTGTGCATATCCCATTTGTTGCATCGCAACTCCCTCCACATGTTGTTGAACATGATACACACATATGTGACGTGTCGTCGGGGTACATGTTTGGCGTTGAACACTTTGTGCACTTTCGCTCACCAGTCACACAACTCTCACAATTAACATCAAATGCCTGACATAAAATACACAGAGATAGATTTGTGTTGGAAGGGACATACGTTGCTGTACAACCAGTACAATGTCCACTCACCCCATTGCAGGCACCACCACACGTCGAGTCACAATCTATACACTTTCCATTTGATGCAAATTTACCATGTGTGCATTTCACACACTTCTGAGTGAAATTTGTTGCACAAGTCACACAGTCTTTATTCCATGCAGAGCACATTATACAATTTGTTGAAATTGGCGAAGTCACAACATGATTGTCAATGCATAACGTGCACTGTCCAGTTGCTGTATTGCACTCGTTTTGTTGACACGTTGTCGAACATGCTACACAAATTCCATTCGAAGGGTAATACCCACTGTCACAGGTCACACACTTTCTGGAAAAGTCGGGCGAACAAGTCTCACAATGAGGATCAAACGTTCTGCAACTTTGACACGTCATACTTGTTGAAGAAATAAAGACGTAATTTGACAGGCACCCAGTGCAATACCCATTTCGCGTGTTGCAACTTCCGTTACATGTTGCGTCACAACTTTTGCATTTAAAATCTGTTGATGTGTCCGGGTAATAATTTGTGTTGCATTCCTCACAGGCACGCGATTGGTCTGATGCACACAAATTGCAATTTGAGTCAAACGAAGAGCACGCCTCACACTTTGTTGTTCCATCAGACTCGTCAATAACTTCGTTTGAATTGCAGTTGACACAGACACCAGTTTGGCCATTGCAGCCCGTTGTGCACTGTGTGTCGCACGGAACACAATTACCAATCTCGTCTGGGTGTGTCTTGTTGGTGCATGTGTTGCACTTTCTCTCGCCACTTGACGCACAGACTCGACAATTTGCATCAAAATCAGCACACGCAACACACACACTGTTGTTTGTTGTTGAAAAGACTTTGTTTGTGTTGCAGCCTGTGCAATGTCCACTGGTTGTATCACACTTACCACCACATGATTCGTCACATAGCTTGCATTTACCATCAACAGCATAGTACCCATCATTACACACAACACATTTTCTGCTGAAGTCTGAAAAACATGTTGTGCATTTTGAGTCAAAATCGTAACACGTTTGACAAGTCAACCCCTTTGGATCACTGAAGACATAATTTGTCTGACACCCAGTGCACTCTCCACTCATTGTGTTGCACTGCCCTCCACACGTGGACGAACACGACACACAACTACCACTTGACGATGGATACATCCCACTTGCACATCGAACACATTGTCGTGATGAATAATCTCCTTTGCACTCCATACAATTCGTGTCAAAAACACTGCAATTGACACAACGGGTTGACTGTGGTGATGTCACAACATATTGTGGCTGTGAGCACTTTGGACATATTCCACTTTGAATATTACAATAATTGGTGTCACATGTCGTATCACAGAGTGTGCACTTTGGCCCATTCGAGAGATAACTCCCCGTCAAACACGTGGCACATTTCCTCTCAAAAGAAGACGAGCACGTTGAACACAACACATCAAACGAACTGCACGTCATACAAGTCTTGTTGTCGCTCTCTGAAAATACGTTGTTTGGGCCGCAACTTGAACACACGCCAGTCGATCCATCACAGCTATTGCAGTTTTGTCCACATGGAACACATACACCATTTTCGTTTGAATAATATCCCGTGTTACACGTCACACACTTTCTGTCAAATGCAGACGAGCATTTATTACAATGTTCATCAAAAGTTGAACATTGTTCACAAACTCTCGATTTGGTTGATTGGAAAACATAGTTATCTTGACATGTTGTGCATATTCCATTGATTGCATCGCAACTCCCTCCACATGTTGTTGAACATGATACACACATATGTGACGTGTCGTCGGGGTACATGTTTGGCGTTGAACACTTTGTGCACTTTCGCTCACCAGTCACACAACTCTCACAATTCGAATCAAATGCTTGACACGTTATACATGTTGTTGAAGGTGGATTGTTTGGCACCATCCCACTTGAACATGTCGTGCAAATTCCATTGCTACCATCGCAAGCACCACCACACGTAGACGAGCAACTTTGGCATTTGTAATCGCCACTTGTCTTGATGTAATAATTTGGTTTGCAGGCAATACACTTTCTTGTGAAATCTGTTGCACAAGTCACGCAATTTTGGTCATAAACACTGCAACTTTCACAATTTGTAGAAATTGGCGAAGTCACAACGTAATTGTCAATACATTTTGTGCACTGCCCACTTGCTGTGTTGCACTTGTTTTGTTGACACGTTGCCGAACATGCTACACACATGCCACTCAAAGGGTAATACCCACTCGAACATACCAAACACGATCTGACACCATTGTCAGCACATGTGGCACAATGAGAATCAAAGTTTTTGCACACTTCACATATTGTTGATGGTGGACTTGTGAACACCAAACCACTCTCACACGAAGTGCAGTGCCCATCTGTTTGGTCACAACTTCCACCACATGTCGTTGAACACGAAATGCACTTCCCGGTATCTGGTGACGGGTACATGTTTGTTGTTTTGCAAGTTGTGCATTTCTTCTCGTTTCCACCTGGACACGTCTCACAATTTGAATCGAAATCTGCGCAACTTTGGCACTTTGTGTTTTGTGTGTCATACATCACATAATTTGATGCACATGAGGTGCAATACCCATTTGCATCACACAAAGAACAAGAAAAATCACATTGTACACAGTTTGCCCCACTATTGCCAACAAAATACGGAGATGCACAACTTAAACACTTTCTCTCTGTTGATGAACACGTGTTGCAGTTTGGGTCGATTGAACTGCAAGAAGAACAGAATTTTGAAGGCTGTGTTATTGCGGGAGTGTACTGTGATGAACATATCTCGCAGTATCCCGTCTGTGTGTTGCATCCATTCAAACATGTTGAGTCACAACTTACGCATGTAAATGGAGATGTTGTTGATGGGTACATCCCACTTGTGCATTTTGTGCACTTTCGTGAAATGGTTGAACACTCTACACAATTTGTGTCAAAAGAAGAACACGTCTGACACGTGACACTTGTTTCAGAGATTATTGTATATTGATTGCTTACACAAGTGCCGCACGCGCCCGTTTGTGTGTTGCACCCCGTCGACGCACACGTCGAATCGCAAGAAATACAATTGGAGTTACTTGATGGGTAATATCCATTTGTACACACCCGACACTGTCTGTTTGGAGTCAGACATTCAACACACTTTGAATCATAATTAGAACACACTTCGCATTGCATTGATTTTGGATTTGTGTAAACCAACCCAGTTGAACAACTTGAACAATATCCTGTTGAATCAAAACACGAACCACCACATGTTGTGTCGCATAGTTGGCAAAATGTGCTGTTTAACAAGTAATAATTCGATTCACATTTTGTACATGACGTTCCCCTGTATGTTGCACAATTTGGAATGATAATGGAGTTTTTTTCACAATACGACGAATTTTTGAAGGTGTATCCACTTTTACAAGTGCTACAAACACCCGAACTCGAACACGTTTCACAATTTGCAACAGTACATCCATTGTAATAACACGAGTAGCCAACTAATTTATAAGGTGATGTGCACGTAGCACACGAAGTAGTAAATGAAGCGGAACACGTTTCTGAACTACAGTTGATGGCACAACACCTTCCTGTAGATTCGTTATACTTCCAATTATCATTGCACCTTTTTAAATACCCTGACGGAATTGTTGTACCATACGTACATGTATATTGTTTTTGGCTATTTACTGTTCTATACATAAGAGTGTAACCTTGCTCACACAGAGCACAACCAACCCAAGTAGGAAAACACTCTAAACAATTATCAACAGTCAACCCATTACATGTCATTGATTTTTTTCTTTGATGGACAATATTTGATACGCCACGGTTTTTGTTTGAAAAATTGAATGAATGATAGTTGACATCTTGAAACTCCAAATTTTTGTCAACAATTTTAAGAACAGTGTTTTTCAGATCGACTGTTAAAACGCCCTCAAAATACTCAACACTAACGAAAAGATGATTTGTAACGCTGCATTGAATCTTTGTAAAATTTGATTGTTTTAACACAAGAACATCATTTTGGAGTTCGAAATTGTTATGAGAACATTTTGTCGGTTTTTGGATAAAGCACGCAATATTACCTCCAACATCACACCATTCCATTGAGAGTGTGCAAAGTACAAACAACAGCATCCGCATCCATCTCATAACAACGATTTGTGTTAAATTGATTTTATAGTTTATTTGGAATTGTATAATTTATATAAATAATTCGAATTCTCTCTTCTGTTATTATTGATATTATAAAATTTTATTATTACTAATATGAAAATATAATTTTTTCAAAATATCAATTTTGTAAAAGCCTTGCTTCATTTTTAAATCAATAAGTTTTGACCTTATAAATCCGAATTCTTGCTCTGAAAAAATACATTCTATTTTTATTGTTTGTTATTAATAAAATTAATTAAAAAATTTCTAGGGGTTCTATTAATCAGAGAATTGGGTTTTAACTGAATATTTTAACGTAGAGTTATTTTTATTAAATATAGTTGACTCAGATCTTTTTTAGTTTAAATTGATTTATTTTTTCCTTTGTAAGTTTGTTTCAAAAATAAGTGTTTTAACGAGTTCTATTGTTTTAGAATTGTTTTGAATAAATTCCTGAAATATCGGTATATAAGAGTCCTTTATATTTATCATCAAAAATACTTTGAACGGATTTTTATAAAAGCAAAAAATTGGCGTCTTTTTAATTGCATAAAAACAAAAAAAACAAATATCCCAACTTTTTGAAAAATATTGAAGCCATGTTTAACAATAAAATTTCAATAAAAATATAATAAAAATAAATAAAAGTGTCATTGTTTTTTGTAATTGTTTAAAATATTATTCGACTTTTAAAAAAGTTAAGTTTTGTTTAATCATTTATTTATTAGTTATAATAATTATAATTACCAAAAAATTGTTTTTATACTCAATATTATAATTTATTTAAACTATTATGTAAATATTAAGAATCATACCTGTATTTTTAATCTATTGATTGTTTAAATTTTAATTTTAATCCAATTAAATAACTAAAGAAATATTTAATTAAAACTATTATTAAATATAAACAATCACAAAATAAACAATAATTCAATTACAATTTCAAAAGTTATTATTGTCAATAACATACAGTATGACAAGTTTGACTTAAACGACAAGTTTGGGTTAAATGGTAAAAATTATAATTTAATTATAATAAAAATTTGAACTATAACCCGAACTAATTAATTGCTTTTTTATTATCAAGTTTATATAAAAAATTGAATAATTTAAAGCAAGCCAAAAACCCAAACACACAACATAAAGAATAAGAAAGCAATGAAAAAAGTAAAGATAATTATAAACTATCACACGATCATGATCATCACCAACATTTTAATGTGATCACAAACAATAAAGTTTTATCAAAATTTGTCAAATAAAGTTACCATAACATTTCAAATTCAATTATAAATACAGTCTAATTTCCCTAGAGTGTGTAATTATTATTTTTGTTGTTCTCTATTATTTGAGCATTTCTTAAGAACAAACCAAAAACAAGATAGACATGCTCTTTAAAGAGTGGGTCCACTTTTTATTGGCCTAAATCAAGCGATGATTCTTAATAAATCCCACTCTTGGGAAGTTTGCCGGTATTTCCTTTCGTTGAATTCGTTTTTATGGATATTATTATTTAATTAAGTTAAAAGCAGTATTCTTCCATCGCAATAAGAAATACTGCTGATTTATCATATTAAAATAAATATAAAGTAACACAAACGTTTCCGAATGAGGCGGCACATGTTTTGGCGCGTTTGAACTCAACGAGACAAACACGTTAAAACATATAAAACAATACTTAACATGTGTTTTGGTTTTATTTTTCAAGATCAGATTGTTACATAAAACAATAGAATTAATAATAATTTAAATATTATTTTATTTAACCATTATATTTTTTTCTAGTTTAACCCACTATTTACTATAATAATTGGTTTTTAAACCATTAACGTGAACCATTTAAGTCAAACTATTCCATTTAATGCAAACTTGTCTAACTGTACATATTTAACATCTTTTCGTGGTGATAATTTCAACTATTGAAAATATTACGATAATATTTGAAAAAAAAAATGAAATTATTTAGTAAATTAAATTTTGTTTTTGATTAACACGTTCAAAACAGAAACGTAATAATAATAAGTTTTTATTTTTTTCTTTTACCTAAACCCTTTTTTGCCTTCATACACAAAACAAATTTTTGAAATTTTTTATTTATTTTTTTATCAACTCAAATTTGAATTGTATATTTTATAGTCACACAAATAAACATGAATGAGTTGATTTGTGTTAAACAAGAGCAAAGCATTAGAAAGAAAAATGGGGTCTAATGATGGTTTAATATATTTGGTTGTTTTTTATATAAAAAGTATATTGTCATTTGATTATAACGATGTTGGTGTTTATATTGTCGTTATATTTGTTAATGTGACTATTTGACATTGTTTGTCATAAAGTGGATTGACGATGTAGCGTTTTTTGTTTTAATGTTGTAACACAATAAAGCGATATGAAATTTCGTCCAAAAAGATTATTTTTTATCAATCTTAAGTAATTGAGTTCTCATTTGTTAATTATTTTAAGTAAAATAAAACTGACTATTGGCCGGTTTGGGTTAGAAGGGTTTTTGAATAAAAAATAATAAAAAATGATTTGGACAATTTCCTTTTTACTTATTTTTCTTCTTAAAAAAAAGTTTTGGGTTGTGAAAGTGTTAAATTATTTGATAATATCATCTTTAAAAACGACCGTTGGGTCGTTATTGTTAAAATATTGTCACCTTTTTAAACAACAAAATATTTGAAATGTATTTGTTAAATCAATTAAATTTATAATATATTTAATTTATGAAATACACTTTTTTAAATAATAATATGTATATATTAAATGATTGTTATCTACTGTTATGTAATAATATATCAATTCACACTATTTAATTATACATGTGTAATAAAAAATACATTTAATAAAAACTACACTTAAAACCACAATTTAAAATAAAAAAACAAACTTGATTATTTTAGTTTTGTGGAAATTGACCGTATTTATTATAAAAACGGTAACTTCAAGTTGCAACTTGAATCATTGTAAAATGATTGTATCATATTAAATAAACAATTTCATCGTTTTTTTCAGAACACCACATATTATTATTTACTTACTATAACAAGACAATAAAAATAAAACCATTTCATTAAAGAATTAATTGTATGTTTATGATTAAACATATAAAACGTGTCATTTATGAATATTTGATAAAAACACCATAAAAACCAAACAAACATTTTATTTTTGAAAATTAATGCCCTATTATGAAATAATTAATATTTTTTTAAATTGTGTAAATTGTAACAATTAAAGTAAATAGTACACACAGAATTTTTTATATTAATTTATTACAATAATAAATTTGAAACATGTAATAATATTTTTAATAGATTTTTTTTAAAAAAAGACCAATCTCTCAAGGACTAAACTAAATGACACAAGAACGTTAAAAAATGAACTATAAGTGATAAAGTCAAGGTTTTTTAATGATGATTGGGAGTTGTACTAAATTTATTGATAATATAAAATAAAAATTAAACTATTTTTTATATATATTAAAATAAAAACTATAAAATATTGATTAAATTTGCGTTTTGAAGTATTAAACTGTTTAACATATTGTTTTTATCAACAAAAAATTACCACAATTAACTACTTTACAAATTGTTATTAACAATATCGAAAAATAATTATAACAAATTGACAACAATATTATTATATTTTTGAGATTAAAAATGTTGATCAAATCACTGAAATGTTGTTTTCATATCTATGTTTATTTATATGTTGTTCTTAACAAAAACAACACCATTAGCTGTATCAGTCACATTTTACTCATTACAACTTTTTATTTGATGTATAATTTTTTTTTCAATTTTAAATTTGTCTGAATCAATCAGAATAAAACGTGTTGAGTTTGTCTTATGTTATATAATAGTTATTGTTTGATAATATATATTATATGTTATAATATAAAATAATTATTATTAATTTATTATAAAATGGGAAAAATGAATTATTTTTGTTCTATTTCAGATTTTCAAATATATTTCAATTTAACCATTGAAATAAATACAGAATTATATAAAAATCAAATACACTTTTTAAGTTTGTATATCATGATTATTGAACAATTATTTAACTCAAGGCGACCTTCGAGATTGTCACGACCCAAGTAATCCTAAGATCTTTTTGGTCGAATTAATTATTTTTTTGTAAATCGGCATTTTACTTTCCTCTTTACCAAATAACAAAAAATATTTTTTAAAATTTCACAATTATTTTCTGAATTTACACATTGTTAAATTGGTTAAATAAAATCATCATTAACCTTAACAGATCGTTTTATCAATTTTCATAACAAAGTTATCACTGCAATTAAACGTTCAAATAAACAAAAATCAAAAATACAACAGTGTTGATACTATAATAATTCTCAAATTAATATCCACTTAAATTATAGTTGTTTATTACATTGATTTTAATGTTTGTAAATAATAACTTTGGTGAAATAATTATGATATTCATAAAACAAAAAGAAACGATTAATATCAAGTTCATTGTGTAACTACGTCGATGTACACAATTTTCGTGAAACGACTTTTGTTGATAATTACATGTAAGAGAGTTGTTATATACGATTATTTTTTCTTAACTATCGTTTTTTTATTATTCTTACAAAATATACATTACTGACATATATATATATTTTAGTAACATCAAATTTCATGATTATCTAAAATAAAAACATGTATTGATTATCAATTTTAATAAAGTAATAACAACAAATAATATATTAGGTTTAACTGTTAATCACTACATTTTCATTTAAATAAAAGGTTGAAAAAAAACGTGATAAATTTTTAGTGTGTAAACGTGTAACATCAAACCCGAACTTAAAATCATTACACTAAAATTACTAGAATTGCACAGTTTGCAAAATTTTTGTTTTTAATTTGTTGCTCTCTCACATATATACATAAGATATAAAAAAATAAATATTTTATCATCAAAGAGTAAAAGCAGAAGATAAATAATTATATAATTTTTTATAGTTCTTTGTAGTGGTACATTAAGTTAGTAGTTTAAACAAAATGAATACATATTTCATAATTATTCTAAATATTAATTTTTTAAGTATTTATCTTTTACAACAGTTATTTCTCTAGATCATACATAAAAGTGCATTAGAACATAAATGTTTGTTTTTTGGATTTATAATACGATGCACATATAATCTAAGTAATACACAAACATTTAATAACAATTCAATTGCTTTCAAATTGAATATTAATAAAATAAAACATTTTAATTAAATTGATAAAATATATTTAATCGTATCTAAGAGACAACACCAATGTAATTGAAAAAACAATTGGTTTATTATCATCATTTTTAATTTGTTCGCATGTATATCTGATTTTTTATCATAATAAACTTCACTTGGTTGTCAGTTATTTTAACCAGTAAATATATAATTTATTTATTCATAACATGTACACAAGGGTGTGAACCACAAGTCGTTAAAAATATTTATATACATTCTTTTCATAATATAATAATTTTTTATTGTTTAGTTTGAAATTAAATGTTTACACACTCAAAAATTTAAGTGTTTTTTATTTAATTCATTTTTACAATGAACATGTAAAGTATAAAAGTGAATCATGTTGAAATAATTATCATAATAAAATCATAAAAAATTAGCTGTATAATCATGTCATTATTTCACTATTCAATGACAGTTGTGATGTCATTTTTAAATTGTGCTATTTGTGTGTGTAATCAGACATAATAAATAAAAAGATAATATATATCAAATAACATTATATACATGTTATTATCAAGAGTGAGTTATTGAAAAATAATCATTTTTTATGTAGTTATACAATGAAAATGGTCACACCCGTTCTAAATATAAAAGATATATTCAATTATCAAAAATATGTCGAAAAAATTTGTTCTCTTTGGTTTTGTTCACAACAACAATTCCATTTAAACATGATTGTTAATTATTTATTTATCATTCAATGTCTTGTCACATTGGTAACTATGTGTGTGATTAACAAAAAATACATTTTTAATGTAAAATACAATTGTTTAAATATAAATATTTTAAAAGAAATACAATTATTTTTTTTTGTTTACCAAATAATTTTTTTTTTGTAATCACTTTTTTTAACTTAAAAAATAATTAATTAATTATTTTTTATATTTATAATTATCTGACACGCATTTCAACCCTTTTTGTTACCAGTTCTTAATTATTTTACGTATGTTTTTGACTTTAATTAATTATTGTCAGCCCAAGCATTTTGATGGATCTTCAAGGTCGCCTTTACTATATATAAATATTTCTAATGGATAAAAATAACCAAAAATTATATAAAACAACACAATATTTTTGTATTATTTGATTTTT